GCCTCAGATAAAATTGGTAAACAGTTTTAAGTGTTTTTTTTTGTTTTTGTTAATTAGTTTTGAATTTTTGAGCGTTGTTTCGAGTTTCGACATAAGTTTTTAAATTGTGATTTTCTATAATTTAATTGAAAAAGGGAATTAACAGCTCCCAAGATTCTAGAATATTAATACAGGAAAGAAAAAACGTGGAAAATTAGAAAATTAATTAAAAATCCGAAATAGACAAAAGTTAGTATGCACGAAACAACGTTGAAAGTCTCGAATTTGTAAAGTTTAAGTTCACAATCTCTGACGAATAAGCGAAAAAGCGCGCATTTTTTTTGAGTTGTCTCCTTTTATTCCCTCACTCTCCAAACTCGTTCTTAAATATTGCAATCGAGTCCGATCAATAAACATTCGAAAACCCTTCAAATCAAAGCTCTCTCCTTTATTCTTTCTCCTTCGTTCTGGGTTCAGATTAGGTGCTAAAGTTTCAATTTTTCAGTCCTGATCCGTCTCTCTTGAGCTTTAATTTCAGATGAGAAATCTTGGGTTAGTCGAAATCAGTCTCCTTTGTTGTCTCTTTCTCTGTTTCCGTATAGATTCTGTCTCCTGTTTGAATTCAGATGGGTTGGCTTTACTTTCACTTCTCAAGCACTTTGACAAAGTACCAACTCAAGTAGCTTCGACGTGGAAGAAGAACACATCTGAAACCAATCCTTGTAATAATAACTGGTTTGGTGTCATTTGTGATGATTCTGGTAATGTCCAGGGTCTTAATTTGACTGCTTCTGGAGTTTCAGGCCAGTTAGGTTCTGAAATTGGGGAGCTTAAGAGTTTGTGGACTCTGGATCTGAGTGGTAACAATTTATCTGGTGGATTACCTTATAGTTTAGGTAACTGTAGCTCACTTGAGTATCTGGATTTGTCTAAAAATGGGTTTGCTGGAGAGATTCCAGATAGTTTTGGTATGTTGCAGAATTTGACGTTTCTTTATCTTACCTCAAACTTCCTCAGTGGTGAGTTGCCTGAATCTTTGTTTCAGCTTCCTTTCTTGCAAGTTCTGAATCTTCAACGCAATAATCTAAGTGGTCTGATTCCTGCAAGTGTTGGTGGGTTAAAGGAGCTTGAAGATCTGAGACTGGCTTATAATGAGTTGTCTGGTAACATTCCCGAATCGATTGGGAACTGTAGTAAGCTGGTAAATTTGTATTTGTACAAGAACAAGCTCAATGGTTCTTTGCCGGAAAGTCTCAATCTACTCGAGAATCTTGGCGAACTGTTTGTCAATAACAACAGTCTTGGAGGGAAGCTTCATTTCGGTTCTCGCAATTGCAAGAAGCTGGTGACTTTAGATCTGTCGTTCAACGATTTCGAAGGTGGTGTTCCGCCTGAAGTTGGGAACTGCAGTAGCCTTCAGTCTTTAGCCATTGTCAAATGCAACTTGAGTGGTACAATCCCATCATCTTTGGGTCTTTTAAAGAAGGTTTCGGATCTTGACCTTGCCGATAATCGTCTCTCTGGCAACATACCTCAAGAGCTCGGGAACTGCAGCAGCTTGGAAACCTTGAAGCTGAACAACAACCAGCTCCAAGGAGAGATACCTCATGCATTGCGTAAGCTAAAGAAGCTACAAAGGCTGGAGCTTTTCGTTAATAAGCTCTCGGGTGAGATTCCTATTGGCATATGGAAGATTCAAAGTCTGACAAAGATGCTCGTTTATAACAACACTCTCACCGGGGAACTACCAGTTGAAGTAACTGAGCTGAAGAACCTTAAAGAGCTTACACTGTTTAACAACAACTTTTATGGAGAGATACCAATGAGTCTAGGCCTGAATCAAAGCTTAGAGAAGGTGGACCTTATTGGTAACCGTTTTACAGGGGAGATACCACCTAATCTCTGCCATGGACAGAAGTTGAAATTATTCAACTTGGGTTCTAATCAGCTTCATGGTCAGATACCAGCGTCTATTCGTCAATGTAAGACCCTCCAGAGAGTCAGACTTGAAGAAAACAAGCTTTCAGGTGTTCTTCCAGAATTTCCTGAGAGTTATCATAGTCTTTCCTATGTGAGCTTCCACAGCAACAACTTTGAAGGACCCATTCCACGCAGCTTAGGAAGATGTAAGAACCTCACGATCATCGATCTTTCTCGAAACAAACTCACCGGTCTGATACCTCAAAAATTGGGAAATCTGCAAAGCCTCGGAGAGTTGTATCTTTCACATAATCATCTGGAAGGTCCTCTGCCATCTCAGCTATCAGGCTGTGTGAGACTTCTGATATTTGATGTCGGATCCAACTCATTGAACGGTTCTGTTCCATCGAGTTTAAGAAACTGGAAAAGCTTGTCAACTTTAGTTCTCAGCGATAATCAGTTTTCAGAAGCCATTCCATCATTCTTGCCAGAGCTTGACCGTCTCTCAGACCTACGGATAGCTCGAAATGCTTTTGGAGGTGAGATTCCTTCCTCTGTTGGCTTGTTAAAGAGTCTGCGTTATGGCTTAGACCTCAGTGGAAATGGATTCAAGGGTGAGATTCCAGCCACACTGGGGAGTCTTAGCAATCTCGATCTGCTCAACATATCCAACAACAAGTTGACAGGATCTTTATCGGTTCTTCAAAGTCTTAGTTCCTTAATTCAAGTCGACGTCTCGAATAACCAGCTCACAGGTCCAATACCAGAAAAGCTGATATCAGATCCGTCGATGTTTCGGGGGAATCCAGACCTCTGCATTCAACCTTCTTCTACAGTAAGTGCAATAACCCGCAAAGAGTTTAAATCTTGCAGAGGTCAAACCAAACTTAGTACCTGGAAGATTGCCGTTATAGCAGCTGGGTCTTCTCTA